CCCTCCCTTCTCTCTCCCCCTCTCTCTCTCACACACATACAACACACACACACACACACACACACACACACACACACACACACACACACAGAGACACATATACAACACACACACAGAGACACACACATACACACACCTGCTCCACAATCTAAAAACAAAGCTTATTTTTTTAAATGGCAGACACCATTGTTGTTGTTGTTGTTGTTTCAGTTTTCAGCTTAAAACTTAAGACTAAAATCCATCGACGTCGTCACTTGTTACAACAATTGAGGCTGCCTTGACAGTGTGAGATACTCTGAAGACCTGCTTTACGGCATTTACATCTCCTTGAACTACACTTTTTGGCACAAGTACAGTTGCATCTTGTAAAGCCTTGTCCACCTGGAGAGGATTGAAAAATCACCGCCGAACGCAGTGAAACTATTTTTTCGGTGTTTATGTCGTCAGTGTTCAGAAGACGCTCAGGGCACAGATCGAATTGATTTCTGGAATACAAACCAGCTTTTACGGCTATCTTCTTGTCTGTCAATTATGATACCAAGGATATTTCTAGGATCGCCTCTCCCTCGATCAACAAGTGGAACTGGCACCCAAACGTTGTATCCTTGTTTGCCAGCTGGCATGTTTATGTTACAGTAAGAACACGGAGATCAATCTAGTTAATACGCGTAATCACTGAATATTTCAGTGAAAACGCGTAATCCCTGTACAGTGGCGGGGCTATTACGTGAATTCACTGAATGGTCAGTAGTAAAAACATGTAAAATGATAGGTCTAATTTTAGGGGTTTCGCGTAATCACTAGAAATTTCAGTGATTACGTGAAACCCCCGAGTGAAACGGGGATTACGTGTATTCCCTAGAACATTCAGTGATTACGCGTATTCACTAGGTACGTATTCTTACTGTAACATATATATATACTGCTTATATCATCACTAGTAGGTGATTTATATCATTATTATTATGATTATCTTCATTATCATTGCCACCATCATTATGTCAAAAGCAATTAGGTATACATCTGTTAGTTGTGGCAGACCAGAGAGATTTTGGCTAGTAACCTCGTTTGTATTAACGACAACACAGGAAGCCTGGAAGCGGAACTGGAAAGGTGGGGCGCAAACAACACAGTGAATGATGGAGGCTGTGCGGGCGATAAGCTGGGGGGGAGGGGATATCAGCGACACCTGTGAAACCAAGACACGCAGGTTGCACAACACCAAATGCCTTTACAAAACCTATTCCGTGAACGGAGTAACTTTCTGGCACTCATTCGATGCAAAGTGCCATTTTAAGGAGCTCAAACATTAATACACATGTAGCCTACTAACCATGACAGTCCACCTGGATTAAATGAATGTGTAATTTGGTAAGGTCAGACTAGGGGTAAGGGTAGTGGTAGGGATAGGGGTAGGGGTAAGGTTGAGTTGTTGTTGTTGTTGTTATCGATCCAGCTACAGCTGGGCTCTCACCCTTCTGTCCAATGCCATGTAGTGATAAGTGCAGGTTTGCTGCAGTTGCTGTAATGTTCCATAGAGTGTGTTGTCAATGTTAGGTCTCGGAGGGAGACGGGTAGTTCTGATGTCATTTAGGGCTGTGCGGTGGAACAGGTGATGATCCAGAGTCTCATGTGCATAGTCACACAAGGGCCACATTGGGGGGAAGTTCCGGGCTCATTCTCTTCAGGTGGAAGTTGGGCTGTAACTATGTTCTGTTCGTAGGCGGAAGATCGCGGTCTGTTTCTTTCTCTGTAGGTGGTTGATATTGCCATTCCTTTTTGTTGTGATCATGTGTTTGAAAACTGCTCTGCCTGTCTTTCCCAGGACCCATCCGTTCATACAATCTTGTTTGTTGTTGCTTTTAATGATTTGTTTTGCAGTGTTGTATGAAGTTGGAATGTTGGGTTGTTCCTGTCTAGATCCCCGTTTGGCAAGTGTGTCTGCTCTGTCATTTCCAGGTATGTTTGAATGTCCGGGGACCCAGTGCATTACTAGGTTGATGCCACAGAATGTTATCAGATGATGGGAGCCAAAAAGTATATGAGTCAAATTTTGGTTTACATGATGTTCATTTTCTATTGCTTGTAAGACTGATAGTGAGTCAGTGAAAATCACAATACTCTGTGCTTTTCCAGGATGAGTGTCAAAAACTGTGCGGAGATGGTACAGTGCTGTTTCAATTGTCATTATTTCTGCATTGTAGTTGGTGCTTTTCTCTACACAGGATGCAGAGATTTTTGGCTTTGGTTGTACCTTTGAATGCTGAGCCGTCCGTACAGACGTGTATCTAGTCATCTGAATAGCTGTCGATTGGTTGATGTGATGCAAGCATCAGCGTCACTGGGTCTGAAGATTTTGTGCTATTAACTCGGGTAAGGTTTAGATAAGGGTAGGGTCAGAGGTAGGGGTAAAGTTGGGCTTTAGGTTTAGGAGGCGGGCTTCGACACCGCCTGTCAGACTGGCAGTGGCCATTCCGAACAGAGAAGGATACATCATCCCAGCAGAACGCCGGAAGCACTCAATAGAAATTATACAATCCTCAAAAACCATAGAATTTAACTGTCAATGAATAAAACGAGCACGTTTAAATTTGAGGCATCGTGGTGAAATCGGGTGCTCGTCAAAGTAAGGGAATTGAAGAAACTAGCATTTTCCCGCCGGTATGGAGATTTTTATCTTTTTTTTTTTTTTTGACTCAACTCCTTTTATAATCTTTTAAAACACATCTCTGTGTGGAAGTTACTCAAAAATGTTGATTAAAGCACAACAAATGTACATTTGAAGTTTTCAAGAACTCTCAAGCTTCGGAAGTCGCTCTTATTTTTACCTCTGAAACTTTGTGACCCCTCCCCCCTCCCCCCCCACCCCACACACACTACATTTAATCGCAAATACCTCGACTCCTATTCTCGATAGATGCGTATTTTTATCATTAAAACCAAGGCATATGAACAGGTTTTAAGATTATAAAATAAAAAAAGAATTAATAAGGGACACTGTAGGTGCAACACCAGTCCTACCACACATTGAAAAACAGATGGTCAAGTGGTTCGGACACCTCACGCGGAAGCCCTTAAACCATCCAGCTCTGAGAGCAAATAAAATTAAATATTCTGGAAGGAGAGCCAGAGGAAGACCAAGGCGACGATGGAGTGAATCTGTGGCAGACACCCTCAGAGCTCACGGGGTGCCCCTCCTACATGCCACTCGCCTTGCTGCAAACAGACGCCTGTGTCTCCCCGCGACACCCACCGGTGCAAGCGGAAGAAAAAAGTTAAAGTAAAAAGTAAGTTTAAGATTCTACCAATAATTCAATAAGCCCAAAAATTGACGGGCGCCTGATTCCACCTCGCCGTGACTCAGCTAGTTGCGTGCCGTCCGTAATGGGCAGCTCGGAAGGCGCAGTTTGCCCTGAGCCCAATTTGTTGTGTCGAGATGCGGAGTTTCTACCCGGGGTGGCGACGTAAACACGGCTTGGGCTCCACGCCCGGAGATACTGGCATCACACTATAAAGGGACATAACCCCGTTCTCCTCACTCTGTTCTCGCTAGACTGTCTGGAACCAGGTACGGATTTTCACTTTTTGCTTTCATCTATTATCTTTTCTCTCTTGTTTTTCTTTTGGGGGGAGGGGGCAGATTGATAGGACTGGGTGAATAATAACAAAAAAAGATAAACTGAACCTTCTCATCAACTATAGAAAAACAGTGTAGTTCGCCAGTCTTGGTCACTAAACAGTGTTTAAGTCAGTATAGAGTCTGTGTTTGGTGTGGTGGCTCTTCATTGAAGTCATTTTAGATGAAAACAACCCCAAAGGGAACAGCAGGAAACAGAACTCTTCACAAATTCAAGCGTGATACCTCTACGTGTACGCCAGCTTTAGCAGCCAGTAGCCGAGCAGGGCCATCACGAAGATAGAACCATAAGAACGGTCTCATCAAAATAAAACAAACCGAGCTACGAACTAAAGGGAAGATATCCAACTTGTGCCCCGCGCGCTCATATGGTAAAGGTCTCATCCTAAAAAAAAAAAGATTACAAGTGAAAGCATTAGGAAGGCTGAATACATTACGCTACCTCAGAATTTGCAAAGTTCTATCTGCTCAGTTCCTAGTTTGGGAGAAATTTGATGCCAAAAATCTTGAGTTTCACAACATGTCAAGCTTTTTAAAATGCAATTCTTTAAAATGATAACGGCTCAGAATAATCTTACGCTTTTGATAGAGCAGATAGAACATTTGTTTTCTGACCTCATGGTCTAAGTAACTCAAAACGGCCAATAATGTCAGACAGAACTTTGTAATTCTGAGGTAACGATTAGTACTGACTCGATGGGTAATTTTAATTGGTAAGTGTAGTATCTGACTGTGAGCTGCACGTCAACATTCTGGGTCTTTAGGGTATCTCTTAAATAAAATTAATCTCTTCCAACAGGGTGACAGTATGAAAAAAAGAGAAAAACAGAAAAAGAAAAAAAAAGGGGGGGGGGGGGATATAATTATGTTCGTAGACCGATTTCACCTAAGTTCTTCTAATTTCTTTAAACACGATCTTTGTTTTCCGAAGGACCTCAACGTTTTGAGGACAAAATTATTTTAAACTGATGCCCTGATCATCGATGTTTTGTTTGTTGTCGGTTCTAATAATTTTTCAAAAGCGTGTACAGGATCTGTAGCTACAAGATACTCTAAACTTCGAAAATGTATACAATATAACTCTCCCAGCAACACTGTACGACATTTGAGAGGTAGGACCTCGAATGCAACGTCCATCACCGATAGGACCGAGCCAAATGGGAATATTCGTGTACAATGGTGTTCCCAAGGACATAACGTCGGACCAAGCTGAGCCTAGAACTCCTGGACCCGCAATCTTACGATTTCGAGTCCGGTAGTCTTTAAAAAAGTAACCTTTTTACATTAATCTTAATATCTCCCTAATGTGATTTTACTTCCTTTCTTGTGATTTCTGGAACCAAAGTGAGACAGCGTCTCTATTCCATTGGGACCGCCTATTTGCCTGTAAGTAGCAGGGAATGGAAATTAGTTTATTAATTAGTTAGAACAGATCGTATACAATGACTGTCCAACAAGTTAAATGAGAATGGCCATTACTAAATAAACATAATGCGTTTATACAATCTGTAAACGCAACTGCTAAGACAGATTTCTGTACGTAAAGTTCATTTACTAGGTTGCCATAGTTTGTTGGGGTTGGGTTTTGTTTTGTTTTTTGTTTGTTTTTTTTAGTTGTTCTTTTTATCACGGCCTCAACTGCTAATTCTTAGCGACATTGGAAGGGTCACGATTTTCACTTCACCAGCTGTGCGTGTGGCTGGGGCATAGTCGTCCCCATATATCCTGTTCTGACAAAAGACAAGTCGAAAGGTTTATCTACTAGATAAGCGGTCATATAATTATTATAAGCATGCATGATGTATGTTAGGCCCATGACCCTTGCGTTTTGCTCTTGCAGTCTTTACTATCGATTTTTGTAATTGTAAATGTAACTGTAGATATCTGCTCACCACCCCCTCCCCCCTTTGCCCCTTCTTCTGGGCTCCTGGGTCTTTCTGCAGCGCTTCTACTGCAACTCCTTTACTCCTTACTGCTGTCTTTCAGCCACACCCGTGCTCTTATCATAATGATAGTTAAGTATTGTGAAAAATTACATTCTGTTCGGCGATGACAAATTTTAAAGTGTTTTGTTTATATTGATGACGATGATACGGACGAAGTATCTCGTCTTGTAAAATGATTGAAGGAAGATAAATGATTCACAATGTTTGCCATTATTTGCAACTTTAATTTTTTTTAAACCCAGAAAAAATGGCGGTAGGTTCGAGGACGCGATTGTAATTAAGCTTCTATTTCTTTCTCTGCTGTTTCTGTCTATCCGTTTTGCTCCCCCCCCCCTGCTCCATATGAGCGTTATTGTGCTGATGTGCTTAGCTTTACTCAAACGAATGAACTAAAACGTACAGAAAGAATAATTCAAGCTTAGAGTGCTGCGTCTTTTGTACGCACTTGATGCACCATCTCAAGATATAGATTGTTTAACAAAAATACGTACGCATTTGTATCAGTTTCTTTACTTAATCGTATTATTTTTCCACAACAATTGAGGCTAGGTTTAAACAAAAGAACTGTTCTTCATAAATTTGTATAAAATACCACATAAATCTCCCTCACGCCGAAAATGGGAATGTTCACAGCACTTCCCCCTTCCAACACACAATTGGCATATGGCTTACACAGTTGTGCTCTCCAATGACACTTTTCAGTGGAAAAAAATGTTACGAGAAATTAATTTTATAATGGACACATTTTTACGCACTAAAAGCAAAGATAGTACATAACAAAATGGTCCACTCAGCCAAAAAAGGGTCCGCCGGAAGTCCGCTCTTTACTTCAGATGGCGCTGCAGTCTGTTTCGTTTATCCAGAAGAAGAATTGGAATAGCACCTCCTTGCGTGCGCAAATCGACTGCTGTTCATCAGTATTTCGGGTTCGTTCAGTGCGGAGTTTTAGGGTGGGTTTTTTTTGTTTTAATGACCTCCTGCCTTTCATTCTAAAGTCAAATTAAATCTCCGGAAGAGTTTTTTTGTCATTTTTAAAGAAGCGTTCTTCAGAAATTTGAATTTATTTTAAAAAACTTGTTAGTTTCACTTTGACTTTTTTCACACAAGTAAGGTAACTCTGTTCGCAAAAGGTGCGCATTTGCGAAGAGGGCGCCCTCGAATTTCAATTTTGAGGACACTTGTTTAATTGATTCAAAGAGAGGAGTGAACCCTCTTGTTATGTAGACTCTTTGCTAAAAGTTCTCAAAACACGCGTTCAATATGCATGATTTCGCGATTAGAAAGAAAATGAAGGACTATATTGCCCCAGCTGTAAACTTTTTAAAAGTCTGTAGAAACCATCAACTGATATTTTTTTACCAGTATTTATTAAAGAAATTTCTAGAATGTAGTGTACATGTTTTAGAAAAAATATTCAACTGTTAAGACAAATTGATTTAAGTCATTGTGCAAAGTTGGAGAATCTATGTTTGATAGTTAAGGAGATATTTGACAATAAGTTGCCCCAAGAATTTTTTACCACACTATAGAGTGTTGAGTCTCTTGAATGCACTTGACGCATCATCTCGAATAGACCATCACAATTAACAAAAATACGTGCGCACTTTCAAGGAGTAATGTGATGGGTTTTCGTGCGGATTCACCATCAAAGAGGTTATAATAGTACAAGAGGTCGCAGCTGTGACGTCACCCACGTAAATTCACGATTGCTGTGCAGGCCGTAGCCTTCGTGATAACATGTTGTCTCCACTTTCCTTTTCCTGAAGCAATATCTTCATAGAGTATGTAGGGGGTTAAGACTGGGTTAATTATTTAATATATTATTAATTCGTTATTGTCTCAAAATAAGTATTAATTGTAGGCTGGGATACAGTAAATTACTCATTGTATGTATCCTGTGCACACACCCAAAGAGAGTTATTTAACATCGGGCACATATATTATAGTAATATACTGTCAACATTTTAATCATACCTTTACGCCCTGGGGTCTTTTTGTGTCCCCGGGGTTGTATTTTTCACATTTTAGAATACTTCTAGTACGAAGATCTCTTTGAAACTTTCAGTATTTCCCCCAAAAAATCATTTTTACAGACTGCTAAGCAAAGCGTACAGATCGGATTAACGAGTACATTTCCTCTTTGGAAGTGGTGGCACAGTTCCCCACGTCATATGGATACGAAAGTAAAACATGACTTTCGGAATGGGTTAAAATGCAATACTTAGATAAACAGCCCGTTTATCTTAAACGTTCACAATATTTTCTAAAATTGGCTTTGATTGGCAACGGTGTTTGGCTACACAACACCCCATCTTCCGCGAACCCCTGCTGCTGTTGCACATGCCGTTTGGCATCGGTTCCACTAAGGAGACAGAATATTATGCCGGTCTTATAGGTAGGTAGTTACGCGTGGTTGGCTATTTTATATATACTCATCGCAACAACATTGCAAGTGGTTCTTTTCCGTTCACCTAGCCTTGAAGGCGTGCTAGAGTTGCAGCTTATGCTTCTAGCAGCTTCTCAGTCACATTCCTGATTCCAGAGGGCCGATACGTGCGCCTTGTTGTGGTAAGCGGTGCTAAATCTAGACATACTGTTTGAGCGACGCTCAGCAAAAGATTTCAATAAAATTTGTTGTTTTTTTATTTTAACAAGTGATCATCAAGTCCATCTCATTCATTTTTTCTTAATTGTATTTTACTCAACCATATATAGTCACACCGTGTAAAAGGCCCTTTACATTATTTGGAGATTACTTGGCTCATTTAAAATTAAACCAAAAAAGTTCCTGTGAGTACACTGTAGTGATAGGCAAATCACATGAAAAAGAAATCAACAAAAAAAAACTTCTCAGAATATCATAAATCCGTGATTGAAAAGTGTTGCTGTGTACTGACTGGCCTTTTATTCCTCTCTGGAATGTCGGCCAGCCTCTCAAGTTTGACACTCGTGACGTCACAGCTAAGACCTTCAGGTCGTCTATCTATAACCTCTGTGTTCACCAAGGACTTGAATTATAATTATCCTATACCCTGTACTGTCAGGGTGCCTCTCTAAGCTTCCTTTTAAAAAAGTCCATACGAAGTGTGCACACCATGGTGCCTAAATGAGAGGCAAAAACACCAGTCTTGCCGTAGGCGGTTGTGTCCAGCACCTCTCCCCCTGTGTGCTTCATTTCGTTACCTTAAAATTACAAAGTTTTGTCTGCTCAGTACCTAGTTTTGAGGCGTTTGTCGTAAAAAATTGAGAGTTTCACAACATGTCAAACTTTTTCAGATGCATTTCTTTGAATATCTGATATGACTCCAAATAATCTTACCGTTTTGTTAGAACAGATAGAACATTCTGGCCTCATGGTCTGAGAAACTCAAAAAAGTCCGAGTCAAATAGTACGTTTGATTGTGAACTAGACTTACTTCAAAGTGTATGGTCTAGGATTATTGTATAGATCTATGTCATGGGATTCGACGTAACTCTTCGAATTGGGATTTTAAAATTTAAATTTTTTAAAAAAATAGGTGGTCAGGTTGGGGGGGGGGGTGGTCTTCGATCGCTTTCTTGGCTCTGTCCTATTAAGGAGGGATATTCACTACGGACGTGCCGCTTCAAAATAACCTTAACTGTACTGAAGATGTTGTTAAACCAGTACGATGTCATAACACATAAAAAAACACCTTTAAAAAACACAAAAAACTTTCCACTGCTGTATTGACTTATTATGTACTCATTAGTGTGATTCCAAACTGGTTTACTGACATTGTTCTGCTGGGGCATAGAGGACATTTTGGAGGGTGCAATTGCTACTTATGAAGTTGTTTATTCTTAATAATGGAAACTAGGCTTTATTGTAGGTGTGTTTAATTTTCTCTTGCCTGTACAAACGAAGATGAACACGTTTTGGCAGTGAAAGGGTTAATATCAAAACTTGATTTTGAAGCTGATGTGATCGAGCCACTCTTCAGTTTGGAGAACAGAATCCAGTAAACCAATGGTCAAGATGATTTTGAGTGATACCATCTTAGAAAAGATGGCCACTGTTCTCAGCGACGTCGATGTGACAGATATTTATATGTATAAAGTTTCTGTCAGGCTGCTTCATCGGGGTCCAGCACTTATGGTAAATATGTCTAGCCCCAGAAGAGGCACTTACAGAAAAGCATTGATCTTACTTTTAAGTTGCACTTTTCCATGCTTGCTTCTTTCTGCTTCGATCTGAATTTCAAAGTAAGGTGAGTTGTGACGGTGCTCAAAAATATTTAGTGCCCCCATTCAAATCAGCAAAATGTAATAATATATTGATATCACTTAGGAGGTGGGCGACCTCAATTTCGCACTGCGTGCCAAGGGCCAACCCGGACCGTGTAGTCGTGTAGGATACTATACATCCCAAATAAAGACGAGATATCCTCAGTCCTCAGTAACATTAGGGAAGAGGCTAGCCGTACTTATATGATGGCCAGCTGACAAACAGAAAAAAGGCCTACTGAATTGTAAATAAATCTTTAGTTTGCAATACCTAAAGTATTTGTATTTGAGACGAAACCAGGTGCCTTACTGACAGTGCCTGAATAATTGCTAATGAGACCTATGTACTCAACAGGTTTCTAATAGGGCCTAACATAAGTACGGCTAGACTGGCATTCTTAGTACATGTAATGATGGCTGAATTGTAAATTAAATTTTAGTTTGCAATACCTGAAGTTTTTGTATTTCAGAAGAAACCAAAAGGTGCTATCTGACATGCATGTATTTAAATCCTGAATAATTACTAGATCTAAATCTAATGAAACCTGTGTACTCAACAGGATTCGGTCAATAGGGCCTAACCTAGATCTAAGTACGGCTAGCCACTTCGTAACATTAAAATTTACCCAAACGGGAACCGAATTCACATTTCTATACTTATAAGGGAAGAACGAAACCATGACACAATAGATATCCTTAACTCTTCGAGTCTCCACTGACGTAAGATGTAGTTCGTTCGTTAAGGCAATTGTAAAAGTATATTTGAGCTCTCCATTCGGAGCATATTTGACCTAGATGCAGGGTCTCCGCTTTCTTTAGCCCGACATGATGTCAATTGCGAAAGGTGCTTTAACTAACATTAAGAAAAGGACTGGGGTTTAGCTTTTATTCTTTCTTTTTTGGGGGGGGGGGGGGGGGGGGGGTGGACGTTGTCGTAGTTTTTGTCGTTGTTTTGTTTAGTCGTTTCTTTTTGTTGCTTTTTTTGTTGTTGTTTTTTGGGGGGTTTTGGTGGGTTATTTTATGAGAGGAGGGGGGGGGGCGAATAGAGTTTTACCAGAATAAGATGGTTCGGAGCATAGAGCATGGAATCCACTATTTTGTAGGTTTTGTTTTACTTCCTAAAACTTAGCTCAAGGTGTCTCGAATAAAAAAATTCACTTACCCACTCTGGAATCGAACACACGTCTGTTACAAAGTCGGGAAAGAGCTTTACCATCAGACCCTAAGCCGTGGTAAGCGATATCCTCTTGATATAGAAAGGCTGATTTTTAATTAAGTCAAAGCGGACCTATACTATTTACAATCACAACTCTTTCGTGTGCTGTTTTTCATGAATCAAATTATTATTATAAGAGCCATTCTCAATTTATCATTACAATATTAGACTATCACGTTTGTTTGCTGATGTCCTCAGAATCGGTCAATGTTACTGACCCGTGTTGTAGCGCCACACAACGACAGACAAGATGAATCCTGCCTTCGTCCTTCTCATTCTTCTACCCGCTGCAGGTGCGCACTGTGTGTGTGTTTGTGTGTGTTTGTGTGTGTTTGTGTGTGTGTTTGTGTTTGTGTTTGCATTTGTGCCTTTGTGTGTGTGTGTGTGTGTGTGTGTGTGTGTGTGTTTGCATTTGTGTGTATGTGTCTGTGTGTGCTTGTATAAGTATGTGTTTGCGCGCGTGCATGTGTGTGTGTGTGTGTGTGTGTTTAGGTGTGTGTGAGTGTGTGTGTCTGTCTGTCTGTGTGTGTCTGTCTGTGTGTGTGTGTGTGTGTTTGTATGTATGAGTTTGGGTGTGTATGTGTGTATGTATGTGTGCTTGCGTGCGTGTATGTATGTGTGTGCATGTGTGTGTATGTGTGTATGAATGGGTGTGTGTATGGCTGTATATGTGTGTGTGTATATGTGCTTGTTTGTGTGTGTGTATGTGCACGTGTTTGTATGTATGTGTTCGTGTGTGTGTGTATATGTGTGCTGCGTGAGTAAATGTACGAGTGTGTATGGGGCTGGTCAGTATACATTCCCTGGTTTTTTATTTACAACTTTACCCTCTGGGTGCCTGGCATGTCAGAACCGTGTCTGAAAAGGAACAATGTCGCTTCTATTTCACTTTATCCCCCTTGACTCCCACCTCCCCACAACCTCAATACTTGTTTTTTCTTTGGCCACGATGTGCACTCCTCGTGTATAAAAAAAGTGCATGCATGACGTATGTTACAGTGTGCCATGGAGGGTTTTTATTAGTCACAAATGTTTGATGAACATTTTCTGAACAGAAGCTGCTTATTAATTTTCCATTATGAAACACGTTGATTGCCTCTTTCACGGCCAGTATTGGAAGAGAAGCCCAACCCCCGAGCATGTAGAATTTTGTCTTGTTTTTTGTTTTTCGTAATGCATTCAAACGTTTTTTTTTATCAAGACCCATGAGCAAAATCATAGCCTTAAAAAAATGTTAATAATACCACGTCTATCCAAGGTTGAATTTTTTTGGCTAATGTGAGCATTCTGTTCCTTTTGACCATATTGTATAATCAGTCGAAACTGTCTTAGACGGCTACCCATTATCGTGGCAAGTGATCAGTTGTACGGGTGAGTGTCTTTTACCGGTGTCCGTTAGAGCAGGTTCAGTGATATTTGGGGCCTATGTGTTTTTTGGTCAGTGATTTGTTGATCATGGCACACGATTACTTTTTGATGGTGATAAATTAAAAATCATTAATTGCTCCTTTGTCTACCCATCCCCTCAGTGGCGTCAGTAGCCTTGTGGTTAATCGTGAAATTGCGGGTTAAGGGGTTCGAGCCTCAGGTCGGTCCGACGTTGTGTCCTTGGGAACGGAACTTTACACGAATTTCCCATTTGGCTCAGTCCTTTCGGAGATGTTTAATTCGGAGATCCCGCCTCTTAATTAACCTAATAGTGTTAATAGCGCGTTACACCTATACCATTTTCACCATCCCCTCAGCGCTGGGCATGAACTGCACCGGTCAGCCAGACGGTAACTACGAGATCGGGTGTCGCTCCTACTCCATCTGCACGGGCGGGAAGACCACCATCATCACGTGCGACATGGAGATGGCCTATAACCAAGACACCGGCAAATGTGACGAGTGAGTGCTCTAGTAGTGGAAGAAAGATAATGGTAGACCCTGACAAAATAGTAGTGCAAGAAAGATTACGGTAGACCATAACAAAATAGTAGTGGAAGAAAGATAACGGTAAACCCTACCAAAATAGCAACAGAAGAATGATAATGCTGACCCTAACAAAATAGTAGTGGAAGAAAGATCATGGTTGACCCTGACAAATTTGCGACACCGGCAAATGTGGCGAGAGTGGGTGATCATTATAATAATAGTATGGTTCGACAGATAAAATTGAGTGCATATACTTTACTTACCTTTACTTTTTCATCCTCTGTTGCTGTTAAACGTCGAGGGGAGATGCAGTTTTCTACTGTACGCCAGCTCTGCAGCTCTTTCCATTGGGATTTTAAAAATATGTTTTGGGTGTACTAACGTATTAAAAATTGGCATTCGAAATCGTTGAGGGAAGTGTTTAAAAAGTAGGCTTGATTATGTATTCGGAAGGGGGGGGGGAGCGCCGGCTAATTTTAACGCTATCTTGTACGGACTCAACTTTTTCCGATTGTTATGCAAATCTATTTGAAAGCACAGAATTCCTGTTGTAGAAACGAGAGTTAGTATAAATAATAAATATAATATACAAATCGAAACTGAAATGTTACAGTACAAGGGCATTAACCATGATAATTTTGGGATCCAAGGTAATTTTTTTTCAAGAGCCTTGACATCTGTGCTAACATTTTTAACAGTTTAGGAGACAAAGAAGTTACCCATATGACGTTCTCATAATTTATTCTTTAACCACCTCACTGCCAGGGCCCAGAATCAAATAACGGAGCACGTCTAAGAGTAATTAAGTGCATCTCTGCGTTTCATAAGTCCCAGTTTATTAGACATAAACATTCATTAAAGGCTACACACAATGTAAGCGACAGTATGATGATCTCGCGGAGACCTTCGTGTTCAAAGCACTGACACCCTCCCCCTTTCCAAACTCATAAAATCTTTGTTTGTTAGTTTGCTTTATTTTTTCTTAGCCACTCGAACTTGGTGGGTCAGATGAAAAAAAACCAACTTATTACCTAATTTTAAAGATTTTTAGAGGGCATATAGATGTGCAGAAAAACGACCAATAGTGAAAAGATGACCAGATGCCTACATAATATTATTGCATAGATTGTCTTCTATCAACACATGACTATAATTATGTCGTAAAGTATAGTTTGTTGGAATGAAGCTCATAAGATTTTGCAAGGCGTATGCAAATGAACAGAACCCATAAATTTAATGAATTTGTTCGTTTTAAATGTTACGAGTACGTTATTTAAAATAAAGTTCGAGTCCCTGCGACTTCACACTTTATATTGCCCTCTGTACTGCGGGCACAATAATGGTAGTACGACGGCCAATGAAGGTATGTCATAGGTGTCGGAACAGCTAACTATGGGCAATTTGGGAGGGGGGGGGGAGTAGTGTTGTGATAGGGGTGAGGGATGAGGAGTAGGTGAGGGATGAGGAGTTTATTTGTTCTGGTAAGGGGTATATCTACCCTCTTCCCTCTCGGTTCCAAAAAGAACATCGAGCCACCTAGAATCACGTGCCTTTTCGACTAACAATAAAAACATGTAAGACTGCATGCAGGACCTCTCTCCCCTCCCCCCCCTCTCTCTCTCTCTCTCTCTCTCTCTCTCTCTCTCTCTCTCTCTCTCTCTCTCTCTATCTATCTATCTATCTATCTATCTATATAGCTATCTAGCTATCTATCTATCTATCTATTTCTCTCCCTCTTTTGCGTGCAATCAATGTATTTAAAGCTAAAGGAGCACTAATCCTACACAAGTTACTTGGCTCATTTCCCCCAGTGTGACCAACATCCCCCCGCCCTGTGGCATCAAGAAGGACTGCTCCAATGCCAAGGACGGCCGTTACGCTGACGTAGACAACAACTGTAAGTCCTACTACACCTGTGTGGGTGGCGAGTTCGCTGGACACAACTTCTGCCCCTCCAGTGAGTATTTTTTCAATCTTTTTTCTTGTAAGTGTTTTACGCGCTCACGACTGCATAATATGGTCATATGAGCGAAGGATCATTAAACATTTCCAGTTTGTAGCAAATTTTGAATTTTGCCCCGGTAGCGGCCGAAGCCTACTCTTATCTTCACACAGAAATAATTTTAAAGCCTACTCTTATCGATTTTCGACCGCTTAGGGATCTTAAACGTGCGCAACTTGCATACGCGATCTCCGAGATTTTTCGCCCTTATCCGGGAAGGCTTAGGGTAGACCTTACCTACTATAAGATAAGGGATGTGAATGAAAGACAGCAGTAAGAAGGAGCTAGGGAGTACAAGTAGAAAAACTGCTGAAAGTCAGGAGCCCAGAGGAAGGGTCAAAAGAGGTGAGGGGGTGGAGGCAGAAAGTGGAGACGAAAGCAGACGACAGAACATGGTAAGAGAGCTGGAAACGATGTGAAAGGAAGACAATTTTAGAGTAGATAAGAAGGAGGGCATATATACATGACCACCCATGGTTCTTTTCATATGGGATGATTATGTTAGTCTTTTGTCTTTATCTATTTTCGTTCTCTCTTCCTTTATTATCTTTTCATTCCTCCTTCCTTCCTTTCTTCTTCTTTCCTTTTTCTTTCCTTCTTCTATATTTCATCCTTTCTTTCGTCCATGTTCTTTCTTTCTTCTTTCTGTCTTCCTCCTCTTCCTTCCTTCTTTCATACTTATTTTTTTCCTTGTTTCTTCCTTGTTCCCGCCTTCCTTCCTTACTTCCTTTTTCCTTCCTTTCTTTCTTCCTTCCTTCCTTCGTTCCTTCAGTCCTTCCTTTCCTCATCCCTTTTTTACTTCATTCACTCTTCCTTCTTCTCCACTCTAACCGTCAAAATCTTCTATCTTCAAAAAGACTGTTGTGTGTCTTGATGAGCGTTCAACTCGTATGAACATAAAACATCACCGTGTTTTTGAATCCCGCAGGTCTTGTGTTCAACGAGAAGCTACAGTCGTGCGACTGGCCAAAGCAGACCCCACCCCCCTGTGGCACAAGCACTGGCACGTCCCCTTGAGCTGAGAGTGAGTCACGTGACAAGTGTGACGTCGTTGAATTCTTGAATACCGATCTCAAGTTTTGCGCCATTGTGGTTTGAGCGAAAGGGTGGGGGTAGCGGTTAACGTAAAACCTCTCGGTCAATCTCTTCTTCCTGTCTGTCTGTCTGTCTGTCTGTCTGTCTGTCTGTCTGTCTGTCTGTCTGTCTGTCTCTCTCTCTCTCTCTCTCTCTCTCTCTCTCTCTCTCTCTCTCACTCACTCACTCACACACACACACACACACACACACACACACACACACACACACACATAGATACACACACACAAAGGTATACACACACACACACACACACACACACACACACACACACACACACATGCACGCACATGCATGCACAAATACACATTGCACACGCACAAAAACAACGACTGACCAAATGTTCTTTCTCCAACCGTTTTCTCCTCTTCCACTCATCCTTTATTCTATGCTTATTATTTAATCTAACCCCCGCCCCCACCCTTCTAAACATCTTTCATCATCTTCCAAACATAACCTCTTCAACTCAAACAATAATATTCGCAAAATCGGGATGATTTAGATAAATACGGGGACGTTGTTTTTGTGCTTGGTGAAATAAAAATGAAATATAAACACTTGTGCCATGTTTGTTTCTCTCATTGATTATTATTGTGTCCTTCATGTTCTTGTATTTATCATTGTCGATGGTATACATAATACTATTTTTCTACCGGATGCCTAAAAAGGACCCATTGTAAGGGCAATAACCCTGTCATCTTTACACCAATTTCATACCCCCAAAAACTGCACAAAATAAAATTCAACCAATAGGACGATAAATTGTCAAATATTAAGTATGAAGAATGTCGACTTTCATGTTCGAGAAATATTAAGTTTAAAAAAAACAACTTTATTTATCTAAAAGCATTTAGCAACAGGATCCTGATCGGCAGGACGAGGATGGGAAAACCATGATGGTTCACACCATGCTTAGAACGTTTTACAGAAGTCTTAGGCAGAAAATGGGAAATAATTAGCTGTAGTAGAGGCCTGGCTCCAACAAGAGTAGCCTTTGCATCTGATTCTGCTTTGCATAGTTGCAAGAAAGGTCTAGGTAAGCAGAAAACTACAAATGAATGGTCACCACATTTCCACCCCTTGAACCCCTTCAATTGGTGCCTTTGGTTTTGGGCTGTTGGGTTTTTCTTTTACTGTTTTGTTGACAAATCATAGTCTATGGAAAAAACCCACAAACAATCGAACAGTTAAAACTCAACGTTGAAGAGGAGGCATAACGATTCAGAAACATGCCAAAAGGTTATCAAAATTTTCCAGCAGCCTTTTCGAGACTGCCGGGAGAGAAATGCTCAATGCTCGGATAATACAATTTAAATACGGTACATGTGGTAACCAACTTCCCTGAGTTTTTTCTGCAACATCTGCGTTATATAAATCAAAATGTTCTTCAATGCACTCAATAATATACAACATAGTTCATTAAGACACCCAGTATTATTATTGTTCACTTTGTTGTTATCACTTTTATTGTTCAGTGTGGTCTTGTTTCTAATAATGTTGATGCCATTCTTTTTTCTTTTTTTTTTGTATCTTTGCTGATTGTCTTCTTGTTTCAATTTACGCCACTGGTGTTCTTGTTTGTATTATTGTTCACGTGGATCTTGTTTCAATTATTCATAATTTTCTTTTTTTGTTTCTACTTTCTACTATTACACTTGTTCAATGCCTTCGCATGCTTCTATTATTATAGACTGTGTTCTTGTTTCCATTATTGTTGATTGTAATTTTTGTTCACTGTGTTGTTGTTGTTTTTTCTATCATTGTTTTCAGTGGTCTTTTTTTTCATCATGGCTGGTATAGTTCTTGTTTTTATATCATTGTTGATTCTATTCTTATTTGTTATTATTAGTGACTGTGTTATTCCTATTACTATTGCTGATCGTGTTGTTTCCACTATTGTTCATTGCGTTTCTTGTTCTTGTCGTTACCTTACCACCATAGCCTATGCCCTACCTGTTCAGCCCAGGGTGCTCCTTCAGCGTGGTTTATCATTGTGAAAGTCCACGGGTTTGTTGGGGGGG